TCCTGCACGTCTTGTGAGGGTCGGAGGAACAGAGCGGCCAGGCACGAGTGGGAGGTCAGACCGCCGAGAATAAGGAAAGCCCCTCTCAAGCCAAACGTATCTGTAAAAGGAAATTTTTTTTTAATGAATTGGTTAGTTTGCTTCTCTCTTTCTTTTTGCGCGTTACGTCTTCTTTTTTCCGTGTCCTGATTTTGGTTCCGATATTGTAGATTAGGTTAAATTGAGTTAAAAGGTGCAAATTGTTATATTTTCAAGAAAAACCAAACAAGAAAACCTAACAAGAAAGTGGGGACTTGTTTAGTAGAAGAAGATGATGGTGATGATGATGATGATTAGGAGGAGGAGGAGGAGGAGGAGGAGGAGGAGGAGGAGGAGAGGAGGAGGAGGAGGAGGAGGAGGAGGAGGAGGAGGAGGAGGATGGTGGTGGTAGTGGTGGTGGTGGAGGTGGTAACGATGATGATGCTGAACATGTTGAACATCATTGATGGTGTCGATGATCTAGTGGTAGGGCTCTGGGACTCTCAAGCAAAGAACCATGGGTTCGAATTCCGGCATGGGTCCATCGTTGTGTCCTTGGAAAAGCTACTTTCCCCAATTACCAAGTGCTACCATAGAATTACCAAAAAGTGTTGGAGAGCAGAAAAGACTAACATTGAGGCATGTGAGATTCTCCCTACAAGACAAAACCTGTTTAAACCTATCCGAACGCCATGGGGTTATTTTGTATCTCCGGGGTTGTATTCTTCACATTTTAGAATACTTCTAGTACGAAGATCTCTTTGAAACTTTCAGTATTTCTCAAAAAATCATTTTGATCGGATTAACGAGTAAATTTCCTGTTTGGAAGTGGTGGCAAAGGGATCCCCACGTTGTATGGATACAATAGTAAAACACGACGTACGGATGGGGTTAAGAAAATGAAAAGTAGAAAAATACATTAATTTAGCCGAATAAAATGCCACCAGATCCATGTGAAATAAATACTTGAAGGCAAGATACGGGACAAAAGGGTGAAAGGTGGACAACGAACAATACGGACCGATACCACCAATGCATGGCTAGGTACGACAAGGAGGGAAATGGTAAGTGGCCGTTTGTACTGGTGAATGTCTTAAATAACTGGCCTTTAAAGCAGATTCAACGTCGGTAGTATAGGCTGGTAAAGTAAAGTTGTTCCCGCATCCGATTCGGACATTGGGGATTGCCTTGTTAGTGAGACAACTTCCTGGGCCTTCGGCATATTGTAGTAAGGTGGCCAGTTCCTTTCCACGCCGCCTTTACTTCCCTACCTCGAAGTCAGGTACCCATTACTGCTGGGTGGGCAGGAGGGGGCGAAAAAAATCTGTGTCCGAACCGAGGCTCGAACTCAGCACTTTCCGCTTTGGAGATGAGCGCACTAACCACTCCGTGACCGCACCCTCATAGACTGGTAGTGGTACTTTTTAAGGTGGGACCTAGGGACACTGTCCAAGATGTTCACCTGTCTAAGACAACCACTTTTTTCCTCAACAATGGATGGCCATCTTGGAAAACTTTGACTACACAATCTGCTCTAACAGCCACCTTTCCATGACAATAACCAGTACAAATGACATCTTAGTAGTTATATACAGGCTTCCGGACTCGTAATTATGAGGGGTTCGAGCCTCAGGTCTGACGTTGTGTCCTTTGGAAAGGCACGTTACACGAATTTTTCTCAATTCACATAGGTGGGAATGGGTACTCGGCCAAAGATCTTGTCAGTATGTTAGTATTTATTTTGCGCCTATAAAATGGCAGCTTGCTCTTAATATGCTTTCCAGGAAAATGCAATTGTTTCAGAATGCTAACAGGTCTGCTGGGGTAATACTATAGATTATAAAACGCACATAGTTTGCTGCTGAGCGGGCATTTGTGAGGGTGTGGGGGGAAAAAGGGGGACGGGGGGGAGGCAAGGGAAAGGGGTGGGGGGTTGAAGGGTGAGGGGGGTAAGAAGAGGAGACAGGAGATGTGGGAGGGGATGAAAAGAGGGACGGGGTGTGAGGGAGTAAAGAAGGGTTGTGCAGGAGGGAGGGAGGGGAAAGTGGAGGATTTATGTTATCTGTTATAATTAATTATCGTTACATTTATTACCGACGAGAGCTTGAGCCAGAGGTGGGTGAAGGAAGGAAGCGAGTCCCCCACAGGCCAGGAAGATTCCGTTAGCTATGGCCGTCTGTTGAGGAAAGTGGGAGGGGAGAACGACGGTACCGCCGGTCACTGAGAGACTCTGACCAACGCCTGGAGGAAAATACAGTAGAAGTATTGTCTGTCTGAGACGGCCACCCATTGTTGCGGAGAATATTGGTTGTCTTTGACAGGTGGACGTCTTGGACAGTGTCATTTTTACATTAATTTAGAAATGTAAAGGGGAAGTGGGAAGTGGTCATTTGTGCAGGTTGTTGTCTTGGGCAGGAGGCCGTTAAAGAAAGTTCGACTGTGTGTAGGGTTTTTTTGTTGTTGTTTTTGGTTGGGTTGGGTG